GGTCTCTAGTGACTGGATAGGCTGCATTCTCAGTGATGTCACCGGTCTCTAGTGACTGGATAGGCTGCATTCTCAGTGATGTCACCGGTCTCTAGTGACTGGATAGGCTGCATTCTCAGTGCTTTCACTGGTCCCTAGTGAAGGGATAGGCTACGTTCTCAGTGATGTCACTGGTCTCTAGTGAATGGATAGGCTACGTTCTCAGTAATGTCACTGGTCTCGAGTGACTGAATAGGCTGCATTCTCAGTGATGTCACTGGTCTCGAGTGACTGGATAGGCTGCATTGTCAGTGATGTCACCGGTCTCTAGTGAATGGATAGGTTGCATTCTCCGTGATGTCACCGATCTCTAGTGAATGTTTTTGTATTCTCGGTAGCTGCTTTCACATCTGTAAATGTGCGAGAGATGAACAGCTGCTCCTATGGACACAATCTGCTGCCTGCCGGCCGGTTTTCTTGTTCGGGAGCGACTCTGAATACAACCTTGGGCTTTGCCTTAGATAAAACCTTACTCTTTTATCTTCGCTGCGGAGTCCACACTTTGCAGGTTACGCAGTCAGTTGGGTCACGTTTGCTTATGCTAACTTGTAATGATTGTCACATTTATCCCAAATTCTGATTGTCTCTTGAAAGGAAGCGCAGAGCATTGAGTGCTCTATCTGCTCTATGAAATGGAGTTGATCCCCAGGGTAAGATTTCAATCCGTGGAGTCTGCTACAAACACATTGTTTGCAGATGGTATCCAGGTTTTGTATGCTGAAGTGAGCCATTGTGTGCATATGATCAGTCAACGAACTGTAAGGGTATTCAAGGTACATTCTCACTGCAAAACACTGGTGAAATAATAGAGGCAAGATGTGCTTGGAGCACCCATCAGGCAGTATCTCCTCCTTCTAAAGATGACCACACATTTTGTACAATCTCTTCTTGATTTGCCAACAACTATGTAGTGCAGGGACCATTGCATACTGATTGAAGGGATTCTTTAAGTAGGTTTGCGCACTACATGGTTTTTGAAACTCGCAAGACCAGCTTTTCTCAACTAGGGTTCCTCCAGTCATTCTTCCCACTGACCACCAGTGTAAGGAGCATTCTTCCCAATGGCCATCAATGTAAGGGGGTATTCTTCCTAATGACCACCAATGTAGGTAGCACTCTTTCCAATAGCTGGGGATGCCATTCTTCATGCCACCGGCTCCCTTGTAATCTGACCTCTGTGTAGAGTTCTAGGAAATGCAATGACTGAATTTTGGCAACCTAGGTAATAACAGTTCTAGGAAATCCAGCTGACAAAATGAATTAAGTTACTGAGGTTGCTATGAAAAGAAATTAGATGGAAAATCAATCCACACTGCGGTTGTAAATAGTTCCTTTTAATAATGTTTTACTACAGAATGCTGTTACAACCTGTATCTGTGTTTAATTACCTTAGTAAAGCTCTGTATGTGTGAAAAGATTTCCGATGCAGCAGCATCTGCCTGCTTTCAGACACCCTTTCTAACTGGAATAGTGCCGTGCAGAGGGAGAGGAATTAAGGAAGTGGCAAAACTTTTATTAACCCTTGCAGTGGGCTATCATTTTCGTCTAGGTGCTAAAATAAAAAGGTTCTACTCGACTGAACCTCAGCTCTGGCTGGCTGCCACAGCCTTTCCTCCAACCTGCCTCAATGCTATGTTCAAATAGTGGTATGTCCCTCACGTCCTTAAGGCTGGGTTCACACTTCAGCGTATTGGAAACTCGCGTTTGCACCGCGATTTGCGGTAAAAGAAACGTGCTTCAAACGCAAGTTTCCGAGGGGGTATCCGGCTGATAACAGCGGGATACGGGTGTTAATACGCCCCAAAGAAGCTCATGTACTTCTTTGGGCGTATGACGTTTTACCACTCGATCGAACGGGCGGTAAAACGCGCAGGTGAGAACCATGCCCATAGGCAAACATGGGTTTTCACCTGTTTGCGCGTTTTTACCGAGCGTAGGAACGCGCGGTAAAACGCTCAGGTGTGAACGGGGCCTTACACTGTATTGGACGTGATGACTCTGGGACCTTACACTGCTGCAGCGGAGGGGTAGCCAGGCTGGAAGGACCAGTCTAAGAGCAAGCCGGCTCTCCTTTTATTTTAGCACCTATATAAGTAGCTATCCCCACACTGCAAGGGTTCATAAAAGATTTGCCCAGTGTTCATCTTTAAAGAGGGAGCAGTCACTTCTCTGACTTATTTACTTGTGTTACTTGAACTATTGTTTTTTCTGGAGATAAGGAGTCTGGAAAACATGAGAAAGGTGACAAGAGCACCACCTGCTGGCTGGATATAAACATACAAAACACTCCTATGTAACACTTCATATGTATCTGGCTATAAACCATTTATTTTTAAACATTTTTAGTGCTGACCATAATAAAGAAAATCTATACAATATCGCTATACATTCACTATACAGTCGCTGTCCTGTCTGTGGCCATCGATCAGAATGCATATACGCAACAGTTCAGTGCATTGCATGTGCTGGAAATGAATGAGTAAGTGAAAATGGTGTCTGTGGACTTTTGAAGAGCAGAAATCCTTGGTTAGGAGATAAGCATTTAATCTTTGTACATAGGTAAACCTTGTGAAACCTGCTAGGGAAGGGGGCCCGGTATAGAGTGTGTGCGTGCCGTGTTCATGGCTACTGATTGCACAGCAACGTTGACTGCAGTCAGTGTGTCCACATCCATTAGTGGGAACGGTGAAAAAGATGACACCGGCCTTTTAAATCACATAATATGGAGGTGATACAGAGCAGAGTATTAGTGTTAAAGGGGAAGAAAGCCTGAAAAAGGAAAACTAAAGCAGACACCACATCAAAGGACCGGCAAGCTGTATTATATTTTTTGATTCATAGGTTTAGATGCACTTTTCATATAGTAACAAACAATGTAACAAATGGAAGTACAATGTACTGAACATTCTGTACGACTGAATTATTAAAACTGACGCGTCTCTGTTTTTGCGTGCAGGTGCAGCCGGTGTGTTGGTTGGACATCCGTTTGACACAGTAAAGGTGGGTTCATGTCTATGATTATTTTTTTAATTGGTTGGAAAAAGAAAATAGAAGGTTGCTATGACAGGAAAAAGGAAGGAGACTTGCATACCGACCCCGGTGATATCATTGCAGTGTGCATGGCATTGTTGCACCTGCAACATGTTTGGGGGGGGGGGCATGGGGTGGAGCTTTGTAGATGGAGGTGGAGTTTTACACCACCACAGCTCATAAATGCATTAAATGTGCAACCTTGAAATCTAAGGTAAGCATCTGTAGGAAGGTGGGGGAAAAAAATCACTCCATGGTTTCTACTATATCTCTTCCTTACTGGTGCTTTTAGGCAGGGAGAGTGCAATGCCATAGAAATGGGTGATTCCCACCCCATCCCCATAGTAGGGTTGCCACCTTTTCTTCAAGCGCAACCCAAACACTAGCGAAACGCGGAATTATTTTTTGGGAGAATGAGGCGTGGCGTATTCATATGTAAAAGGCACCACCCATTAATATGTAAATATCACAGTTGAGACTATTTTCAGTGAGGGGCCAGTAGCCCCTATCTTAATTTTGGTTGCTCCTGTCTGCCTGCATCTTGTGCCCGGGTTCCTGGTGCCATGAAACCCGGACACAGCTTTCAAAACCCGACTGTCCGGGTGAATCCTGGACAGGTGGCAACCCTACCCCATAGATCGATGCCATAGAAATGGGTGGTTCCCAAGTCCACCACCCCCATAGATTGATGCCATAGAAATTGGTGGTTCCCAAGTCCACCACCCCATAGATTGATGCCATAGAAATGGGTGGTTCCCATCGACTGTCCGGGTAAATCGTGGATACCTAGCACCCCCACCCCATAGATTGATGCCATAGAAATGGGTGGTTCCCAAGTCCACCACCCCCATAGATTGATGCCATAGAAATGGGTGATTCCCAACCCCACCCCCATAGATCGATGCCATAGAAATGGGTGGTTCCAAGCCCACCCGTCATTGATCGAAGCCAAAGAAATGGGTGATCCCCAAGCACACCTGTCATAACTCGACGCCATAGAAACGGGTAATTCCCAACCCCGCCCATAGATCAACGCCATAGAAATGTGTGATTCCCAAATCCATCCCCCATTTATCACTGGCAAATTATTATTAGTATCAGGAGTGCTAGTGAAAGGCAAGTTGGAAGTGGTGCACCAGACCCAGAACCATAACCAGTCTCTGTTAGGGCCACAATACACCCCCCTACCCCAAAAGAAAGGGGTCACCCAAACTGAGAATTCCCATACAGTTGAAACAAAATGAGCCCCAAAATATTTATAAATAATCCACAAGTGACAGCCAACACGTTTGCCAAACATCCCCCTTCGCCAGGGCTTTAGTAATGTGTCAAGAGAGTCTAATGGACTCAAAAGCAAAACAACTGGATAAAGAATTCTGTGTTTGTTAAAAAGAAACAGAAGAGATACAATGTCAGCGTTTTAGGAGTGAAGGGAAAATGGACAGATGGCTCCAAGGGTAGATGGTCATCCTAAAAACTGAGCTGTTATATGATCATTGGTGCCACTGCATTCATTCTTCGTAGTTTTATAACGTCCTTTTTATTGTATGCAGTCTTTTGACCATTGATAGAAGGAGAGAGCAGAGAGTCCATGTGCAGGACTAACCTTTTGTCGGTGGTCATGCTTTGTTTGTGCAGACACACACAGCTTACTAGCACACACAAGGGTCCCTGCAAGGGAAAGGAGCCACGCTAAACAAGGATATAATGGCCAGCTTGTTCTGCAGGAAACTGACACTTCAAGGAGCAGCATCCATTGCAAGTGATTCATCATTTTGAAATGGCTTAAAACCTTTTGACTTTAATATCACTTGAAGCATTCTAGTGTTCCGGTATTGGCAAGCTGGATCGCACCCTGGCAGAGAGATCCCCACCAGCACTGCCAGTGCAAAGCCGACCTTCCCCTGGTGGGTTTTTCATAATGTGAACTAACGTTCTTACTGCAAACAAGCTGTCCGAGGCCGATCTATCTTCACCGATCGCCTGGAGGTTCCAAATCTCCCGGCTCTTTAATAAGTAAAGGGCTCAGAGAGACACCACGTCAGCCTCTCAGCTGATTATCACCTACCCGAAGAATGACTGAGAGCTGCGGGGTTTTTCCATGATGTAGGAGTATGCAGGAGCTTCAGTATCAGGTGTTGCATGATCAGTTCAGTCATACACAGTCATTGTAAGGTGAACCTGTCCTCAAAAGGGGCCGTGGGCACAATAAATGACATACACTATATTGCCAAAAGCATTGGGACGCCCCTCCAAATCATTGGATTCAGGTGCTCCGTGACATTTCCTGGCTACTAAATATTCCGCGGTCACCTGTTACTGGTATTATAACAAAGTGGAAGCGACTGGGAACAACAGCAACTGAGCCAGGAAGTGGTAGGCCACGTAAAATGACAGAGCGGGGTCAGCGCATGCTGAAGCGCACAGTGCGCAGAAGTCGCCAACTGTCTGCAGAGTCAATAGCTACAGACCTCCAAACTTCGTGTGGCCTTCAGATTGGCACAACAACAGTGCGTAGAGAGCTTCATGGAATGGGTTTCCATGGCCGAGCAGCTGCACCCAAGCCTTACATCACCAAGTGCAATGCAAAGCGTGGGATGCCGTGGTGTAAAGCACGCCGCCACTGGACTCTGGAGAAGTGGAGACGTGTTCTCTGGAGTGACCAATAACTCTTCTCTGTCTGGCAATCCGATGGACGTGTCTGGGTTTGGCGGTAGCCAGGAGAACTGTACTTGCCTGACTGCATTGTGCCAAGTGTAAAGTATGGGGGGGGGGGTTGGGCTTGGCCCCTTAGTTCCAGTGAAGGGAACTCTTAAGACATCAGCACACCAAGACATTTTGGACAATGTCATGCTCCCACGCTTCCTGTTCCAACATGGCTGCGCACCAGTGCACAAAGCAAGGTCCATAAAGACATGGATGGGGGAGTTTGTGGTGGAGGAACTTGACTGGCCAGCACAGAGTCCTGACCTCAACCCCATAGAACACCTTTGGGATGAATTAGAGCGGAGACTGCGAGCCCGGCCTTCTCCTCCAACATCAGTACCTGACCTCACAAATGGTCCAACATTCCCATAGACACACTCCTAAACCTTGTGGACGCCTTCCCAGAAGAGTTGAAGCTGTTATAGTGGCAAAGGGTGGAGCCAACCCAATACTGAACCCTGCGGACTAAGTCTGGGATGCCATGAAAGTTTATGTGCGTGTAAAGGCGTCCCAATACTTTTGGTAATATAGTGTATGTGATGCAAATAGAAAACGAGACGCTGGATCTAATGATCTGTTAGTCTTGCACAGTTGTATCGGCTCCTCTCCTGGACTGAAATGTCTTCCTCTGATATCACTGCACACTGGGAGCTCCTCACAATGTGCATTAGAAGCTGCAGCAAGTCAGATAGAGCCCGTCTCATTTCCTGGCTGGAGGAAGTCCAGCATCATCTAACGCTTTCCTCCCCAGCCTGACTGTCATTGGCCCGCCGCTTTCATTCATTGGATTTCAGCTACGGGGGCACAGCTTTACACGTGGGCATTTCCTGGGGTGGTTTGCATGCAAATACAGCTGGTCTAGGAACGCCCACTTCTGCAGACTGACACCCTCCCATCAAGGCATTTTTTTTATATTTGCATAACCCCTCCCAAGGGCCAGCCCACTGCTTGTATCGGGGCTCTTGAAAAGAGTACTGAGGCAGGGCACTGTGATGTTTTCAGGAAGCTATGTACAGCACCCTGTCAGCCCCTACCACCAGCCATGATCTGTCGGCATTGAACAGAGACCCGGTGATGACATCACTCGGTCTAAAATAAGGTATGTCATGAAAACGGAAAGATTTTTTTAATGTCCTTAGCATGCTGATGAGAGGTGAAGGAGGAGCCAGCGAAGCCAAAATATAAGCAGATTAATCTTCAGCTTTAAGGATGAATTGCTCCACAGTGCCCACAGCTGCTCAGCCCCATGAGAGCTCCTTCTATAGCTCATTGAATTCCTGTCAGGAATTTCTATTGAATGCCGACAGCCTGGCCACAGGTCCACTTTAAACAATGCTCGGAGCTTTCCCTACTGATCCCAGGTATCTGTGCTGTGTGTCCAGTAGGAAGCAGAACAATGCGGAGCCGGGACACAAAGCTTTGTTCTTCGGAATGTTGCTCTGCAGCTGTTCCGAGGAGATAAAACAGAACAATGTGTCACAATGTTTCCTCAAGCCATTTCCGCTGCTTCGAGCCCCCGGCCACCGATTGGCTGACACAGCCGCAGCGATGACTCTGCTCTGCATGCTTCCCATCACTGACGTCTGCATGTGCGGCTTTAATAATATTCTGTCGGCCTTCATAAACTTTCACAACCTCTAATCGCTACAAAGCTGAACACTGTGTACAAGGCGGCTGCAGGGAGGCTCATGGCATTGTTGTCAGACAGGTCTGGACACCCCTGAGCGAGCTGGGACATGTACTTCTTCAACAACCAAGAGAGGGCGGACCCTCAGTGTAGATGTGACCTGTATGGGAGCACAGCTGTGGGAAAGAATCACTCCGGGAAACAAACAAAAAATCCTTTTAAACCCCAATGTTTTGTAAGGGTCCCCACACACCTTACGATTATCGTACGATAATCGCGAGGTAGCCGTGCGACCTCTACTACTGTAAGGTCGCACGACTTTAAACTTACGGACATGTTCGAAAACCCGCCGAGCATCGTACGATGTTTGGCGGGTTTGTGGCATGTCCGTACGATAACAGCCGCACGGGCCGGTGTGCGTTCGGCATTGCGGTCATCGGAAGCCCGCCTCTCAGGGGGTGTGGCTAGCGATCATCGCAAGTACGATCTGCCTATGCAACATAGGCAGATCGTACGTTTTTTAAGTACCTTAGAACCATCGCAAGACAGAAGTCTTGCGATGGTTGTAAGGTGTGTGCCCAGCCTTAAGCTTTGAATAGGGTAGGTAAGGGTTAAAACCTCGGTCAGGTGCTGTGTCTCCATTACAATTATTTTCTCTCACTTTTTGCATTCTGACATGTGTCACCTGGACAGGAAGTGAAAGAAAATGGTGACACAGACAACCATTTAAAGCTGGCCATACACCTTACAATTATCTGCAGATTTTCTGTGGTCAGTTGGAAAAAGTGCAACAGATTGGCCCAGGTGGAGATTCCTCCATCCACACAGTTTAGGCCCCATTCACACTGAGCGACATGAAAATTGCGCGTTTTTGTGCGATATTGAGCGACTTGTCTCGTGAAATCGTGCAACTTTTTCCTATTGGGCTGTATGCAATCAGGAGCAATATCGCTCGAAATCGCTCGAAAAAAGGGTCATGTAGGAGCGACAAGATACCAGCGACGAGCTACAAGCGATATTGAGCGACGAGATGTGAACAGCTCCATTGAAATGGATTGGAGAAGCTACATAGAGCGATATCGTGTGGAAATATGAGCGATATCGCTGCGATAAATCGCTTAGTGTGAATGGGGCCTTAGCGTGGATGGAGGAATCTGTTGCACCTTTTCCATCTGACCATAGAAAGTCTGCAGATAATTGTAACGTGTATGGGCACCTTTTGTTGAATGGAGCTGAGGTTTCAGTTTTATAATCTAATGTCACGGGCAAAGTCAGATGCTTAGGCCAGTTTTCGCAAAAGCAGATTAATTTATTAATAATAATAATACTGTATTTGCTGGCGTATAAGGTGACTTTTTATACTTAAAAACATCCCTGAAAATCGGGGGTCGTCTTATACGCGGGGTATACAATGTATAACTTTTAGTTCGTTTGGGCCAAGGTGGCCCAAAACGAACATCCCTAATCTGTCAGCCCGCTGGATGTGCGGTAATACTGTTTGTACGGTAGCTTCGGCTACATACAGTATACCGAGCTGAGCCAATCACGGAGAGCGATGTACACAACCTCTGCCAATCCGAGCAGACTTTGTATTCATTAATAGAATACATCGCTCGCCGTGATGCCTTCCATGTTGTCATCAGCGCAGATGTGCAGACACGTGTCTTTCTACTTTGTACTTTTGATCTGCAAACAGCTGAATGTAAACAAAGCAATGTTTACCTCTGTCCGGGTCTGTCATGTCCGCTCTCAAAGCACAGGTATTGCCAAAGTCACTCGTTGTCCCCGGGTATATTAAAACGGTGAATGAGTTTTGAATGTTCTCCATCCAGCCCCATATGAGGTCTAAGTTGTTGCAGTGCCTCATTGAAAAGGAAGTTGTTCTGTGACATCACTAGAGGGGCGGGGCTGTGTGATGTGCGCCAGTACCCAGGATTCTTATTCTGATCAGTCGTTCTCGTGATTCAGACAATTTGTTTTCTATCCAAATCCTGCCGCCTTCACCTTCGTAACATCTCAAAAATACGCCCCTTCCTCATCAATGACACCGCAAAACTACTCATCCACTCCCTTGTTATCTCTCGTCTTGACTTTTGTAACTCCCTCCTCATTGGCCTTCCACTACACAGGATATCCCCCCTTCAGTCTATCATGAATGCAGCTGCCAAACTCATTCACCTTACCAACCGCTCAGTGTCTGCATCCCCCCCTGCCAATCCCTGCACTGGCTTCCTATAGCCCAAAGGATAAAATTCAAAATATTAACAGTCACCTATAACGCCATCCACAACTCTGCCCCCGGCTATATCTCAGACCTTGTCTCAAAGTATCACCCGAACCGTCCCCTCCGCTCATCCTGCTTTCCAGCTCCCTTGTCCACTGCTCCCATACTCGCCTCCAGGACTTCTCTAGAGTCTCTCCCATCCTCTGGAACTCCTTACCCCAACCTGTCCGTCTATCTCCCACCTTGACTGCCTCTTAGGCGTTCCCTAAAGACTCATCTCTTCAGGGAAGCCTATCCCACCGCAACCTAACCACTGAACCTTCACATTCTCACATAATTCATTCCCACAGCTACCTCATGTATCATTTCCCCCTCCTCTTTTAGATTGTAAGCCCTCAGGGGCAGGGCCCTCCTTACCATCTTGTCTTGAATTGTATTCTAACTGTAATGTCTTCCTTATATTGTAAAGCGCTGCGCAAACTGTTGGCGCTATATAAATACTATGTAATAATAGTGAAAATCTCTTTGTCACTTTTATTGGTTTGTCTCGTATATTTCCATTCTTAAATCTTCGGCAAGAAATGTTGTCTTCATTCTCCGTGTGTTTTGTGGTGATGAATAAATCCTGAGTATATCCGAGATCTGTACCCCCTCCATGCAGCTAGAAGCCCTCTAATGACTCTTTATATTTTCTTCTAGGTGCGTCTACAGGTTCAGAGTGTGAAGAAGCCTCTTTATCGTGGAACTATTCACTGCTTCCAGTCCATCATCAAACAGGAATCTGTAAGTAGAACGCAGCTCAAGTTCTGTATCTCTGACCAATAATGACACTGAGAATGCGGCCTATCCATTCACTAGAGACCGGTGACATCACTGAGAATGCAGCCTATCCATTCACTAGAGACCAGTGACATCACTGAGAATGCAGCCTATCCATTCACTAGAGACCAGTGACATCACTGAGAATGCAGCCTATCCATTCACTAGAGACCAGTGACATCACTGAGAATGCAGCCTATCCATTCACTAGAGACCAGTGACATCACTGAGAATGCAGCCTATCCATTCACTAGAGACCAGTGACATCACTGAGAATGCAGCCTATCCATTCACTAGAGACCAGTGACATCACTGAGAATGCAGCCTATCCATTCACTAGAGACCAGTGACATCACTGAGAATGCAGCCTATCCATTCACTAGAGACCAGTGACATCACTGAGAATGCAGCCTATCCATTCACTAGAGACCAGTGACATCACTGAGAATGCAGCCTATCCATTCACTAGAGACCAGTGACATCACTGAGAATGCAGCCTATCCATTCACTAGAGACCAGTGACATCACTGAGAATGCAGCCTATCCATTCACTAGAGACCAGTGACATCACTGAGAATGCAGCCTATCCATTCACTAGAGACCAGTGACATCACTGAGAATGCAGCCTATCCATTCACTAGAGACCAGTGACATCACTGAGAATGCAGCCTATCCATTCACTAGAGACCAGTGACATCACTGAGAATGCAGCCTATCCATTCACTAGAGACCAGTGACATCACTGAGAATGCAGCCTATCCATTCACTAGAGACCAGTGACATCACTGAGAATGCAGCCTATCCATTCACTAGAGACCAGTGACATCACTGAGAATGCAGCCTATCCATTCACTAGAGACCAGTGACATCACTGAGAATGCAGCCTATCCATTCACTAGAGACCAGTGACATCACTGAGAATGCAGCCTATCCATTCACTAGAGACCAGTGACATCACTGAGAATGCAGCCTATCCATTCACTAGAGACCAGTGACATCACTGAGAATGCAGCCTATCCATTCACTAGAGACCAGTGACATCACTGAGAATGCAGCCTATCCATTCACTAGAGACCAGTGACATCACTGAGAATGCAGCCTATCCATTCACTAGAGACCAGTGACATCACTGAGAATGCAGCCTATCCATTCACTAGAGACCAGTGACATCACTGAGAATGCAGCCTATCCAATCACTAGAGACCGGTGACATCACTGCGCTCACCTATCCATTCACTACAGAAATTGATCACACTCACAAATTTAAAGGATACTTAAAACTGAAGTGAGGGCTTATTGGGGCATTAGCTAGGTACCAATAGGGCTCCTAATGATGTTTGCCCCACGAGTGGCTGCTGCCTATATCATGAAAAATGAGAGATAACAAGTTCTGTGATTGGACAAGGGACGTATGATGGTCAGGATCTCCCCTTGTCCAATCACAGAACGCCTTGTGTTCTTTCGATAGTATACATGAATGGAGGAGCTGCAGAGAGAGACTCCCTGTGATTCTGGAACTTTAGGGGTGACGTCACTGGCGGAGGTTGCATGTAACGAAACATTTTTACCAAATAGTTAAACCAAAAAAATTCATATCGTTAATTGTTTGTTCTTTTTGGTTTTCTTTAGGCATGGGGACTGTACAAAGGGGTCGGCTCGCCCATGATGGGGCTAACGTTTATCAACGCTCTTGTGTTTGGCGTTCAGGCGAACACCATCCGATACCTCAGCAATGACACACCGTTGAACCAGTTCTTGGCCGGTGCCGCGGCCGGAGCCATCCAGTGCGTCATCTGTTGTCCCATGGAGCTGGCGAAAACCCGACTGCAGCTGCAAGGCACCGGGGAGTACAAGTCCAAATCCAAAAACTACAAGAATTCTCTAGACTGCCTCGTGAAGATCCACCGGAAAGAGGGCTTGAAGGGCATCAACCGAGGGATGGTGACCACCTTTCTCAGGGAGACCCCCAGCTTTGGGTTTTACTTCCTGACCTACGACTATCTCACCAGGTACCTCGGCTGCGAGATCAACGACCGATACATCATCCCCAAGCTGATGTTCGCCGGGGGCATGTCGGGCATCGCGTCTTGGCTGTCGACCTACCCCATCGACGTCATCAAATCTCGACTTCAAGCCGACGGCATCGGCGGCGTGAACCAATATAATGGCATCTTGGACTGCGTCAGGCAGAGCTATCAAAGCGAAGGCATGAGGGTCTTCGCGAGGGGTTTGACGTCCACCTTGCTGAGAGCCTTCCCCGTCAACGCTGCTACATTTGCCACCGTCACTCTGTTCCTCATGTATATGAGATCGGAGAACGCCATCGGCGAGTGCGAGGCTGGGCCGGCGTTACAGCAGCCGACCAGCATGTAGACTTCCCAGCCGGCGCATATGAACATGTATCCCAGTAGACTTATTTTTATATGTGAGTTGTATAAATATTCTGTACATAGACGATATGTATAATTTGGGGTTTATACGCATTTTAGGCAGGCTTTTATCTCAAGTCTACAATAGAGCGTGGCCTTATTGGAACATACTGACCCACTGTTGGCAGTAACTTGGCGCTACGATCCCGGAGATCCCATCGGCATCTACTCCATGAATGTGAAATCAGAAGATCTCTTTTTTCGAGATTATGAATATTTGGGAGAGGCCATGGCACAAGAGTCGGAACGGTGGCTTAGAATGTTTAGCCATTGGTGGATGATTGGGTGGTAGGTGGATAACTGGTTAAGGGCGATGCTTTAAGGCCCATTTACGCTATCCAGTGCATTCAGGGTTCGGTTCCATGCCACGTGTTCCGGTGCAGGTGATTGCACTGTGGGTGGGAGGCGTGTCTGTGTTGCCATTGAAATGAATGGTACCACCCCGCCCCAGATCGTGCCCTGAACGCACTGCATAGTGTGAGCGGGCCCTTTAAAGTCCAACTTCAGGCAGATACAAGGCACACGTCGGTGTAACTCTATTCTTTAATAAATAATTTCATTAGGGATCACCGATACTGGTATCTGTATTGGTGCCGATACCGAGTATTTGGGCAAGTACTTGCCCAAATGCTCCGAGGGCTAGCCCGATACCTGCGCTTCCAGTATCAGGAAGCCGTGCAGCGAGTCATTACATGCTGTCCGGCTTACCGGCCAATCAGGAAGCCAGCCTCCGTGTAATGACTCGCCGCATAGCTTCCTGATTGGTCAAGAAGCTGGCCAATAATGAAGCCGGACGACAAGTCATTGCCCAGCCTCCTGGTTGGCTGGAAAGCCGGCTTCATGCTCCCTCGTCACCTGCCGATGGCTTCCCGCCCAATCAGGTGGAGCATGGGGACGGCTTCCCTGCTAATCGGGAAGCTGGGTGGCTTCCTTAATGGGACTTCCGGTATCCGTATTCGGTATCGGTGAGTACCGAAACAAAAAATAAAAAACAGTGTCGGTGCATCCCTACATTTCATGCATGCGGTATACGTGCCTGCATTGGACCTGGTATCGGTACCCGTACAGCAGAGCTCAAAGTGGGAGAGGGAGAATCGGCACATCTGTGCTGCAGTGCTTGTGTGCTATCGAGGGACATGTTGCTAAGAGGAGAGAGATGAGCTCATCAATCCGCTGCGTCTCCCTTTTATTGTCCAATCACAGGCTGGGGAGGGACAAGACCTGTAAGTGTTACTTAACTGCAGCAAGGAAAAATCAGGTCTCCTGCCCCACCAGACAGGGCTGTGTATATCTCAGGACCGGATGGACAAATACAAACCCTTTGGTAGGTAATAACGGGATTTATGGTTGTATTTAGCTGCCTGGAGTTCATCTTCAGAGCACCACGTGCTTCTGATGGATCTGCAGAGGAGACTTTGATCATATACCCGTGGCATGTATAGTCATATATGGGATACTGCCTGATAATAGGGAGAGCACACCTCCTGGGTTGAATAGTGGGCAGTGGATTACCTAGTGCAGGGGCAGGCGACCTCGCCACGATAGCTGTTGTACAACTACAAGTCCCATGAGGCATGGCAAGACTCCCGACAGCCACGGGCATGACTCCCAGAGGCATGGCGGGAATTGTAGTTTCAGCATAGCAGGAGGGCCGGAGTTGCCTACCTCTGACCTGCTGCATTGGCAGGTAAATTTAGAACTCCAGCCGAAGCTTTTTGGAAGAGCGGAGTGAGGGTCGGGGGTTCTGGTCCTGGCGCGGAGGGGCCCCCTTCCACCTCTGATCCTTCATGTAAAAGCAGCAGCAGGACTTGGTCTCACTCCGCTCTATTGTAGGACTTAGTCTCACTCCGCAATGAAATACTCCATTCTGGAACTGGTGATCCAAATCTCTGCACTGGGGTTCCCAGCTCCGCCCACCTGATGTGACCTGTAGGTGTGACTCTTATTTGCTGCTGAACTCTTGAAGTGTACCTTGTATCAGATGTATTGTTTCATGTTGAAGATGTTTGTATATATGCAAGTATTACACTGCTAGGTATTTATTATTTCTTCCCCCCCCCCCCCCATTCATCTGCCTTTCTCTCCAAAAGGACAGAGCCATCTTTGTTCAGGCTTCATCCCGGGTCACTATCTACTTCCTTAACTTTGATGCTGGCTCAGGGATGACAATCATGGTGCCTCTTACTTTGTGACTTGCAAAGTTACATTGTTGCAGACTGATCACTGGATGGAGGAGAGACTGAGGAAATGCTTACTCCTGTCTGCAGCAGACTGATCGCTGGGGGGGGGGAGGCTGAGGAAATGCTTCTTCCTGTCTGCAGCAGACTGATCAATGGGGGAGGGGAGACTGAGGAAATGCTTCCTCCTGCCTGCAGCAGACTGATTACTGGGGGAGGGGAGACTAAGGAAATGCTTCCTCCAGCCTGCAGCACACTGATGACATCATCTCGGTCTAGGCATACTCCTTAGACTGGAGCCCAAGAATGGCTTTTAGGATGAATTATACGGTTGTATATTATGACATGTTGGGTTTGTTCATGCAAAGGTACCTAAAAGCCGACTATTGTGTGTCAAACAGAATGTATAGGATGCCTTTGTTTGGATTTGTAATCCCGGTGTCAAAGGGGTGGAGCTAAGAACTCCAGGTAGGAGGAGCTCCGAGTTGTATTAAAGTGTTATTGAACACACCGGTGTCCACTTATAACCAAATTATTCCTTTTGCTGGATTTTGATATTTTGCAGTTACATTTATTATTACAGAAAACAAAGTTGTCAGCCGACCGCGCTTCCTAAACACAAATCCTTATTACTTGTGTGATGAACCCCCAATTTCCAGAGGATACTATCCCCTATTAAGTAGGGGTGCAGCCATACTGGTTTTTCAGGATCGAGTACCAATATTTTTTTGACTCTCTGATACCGAATACGGATACCGGATGTCCCGATTAGCCGGGAAGCCTTCTCCATGCTCCCTCCCCACCAGGTGAGGAGGAAGCATGGAGCTGGCTTTCTGGCCAATCAGGAAGCCGAGGGGCAGGTAATGACTCGCCACCTGGCTTTTTGATTGGCCAGCTGCCCGACCGATCCGTAAGCTGGGTGGCGAGTCATTACATGCCACCCGGATTCCTAATTGGCCAGGAAGCCGGATCCATGCTTTCTAATCACCGAGTGACGAGGGAGCATGGAGCCGGCTTCCCGGCCAATTAGGAAGCCGGGCACGTTGTAATGACTCGCCACCTGGCTTCCTGAACCGGATGTTCCGGTATCGGGATAGGCATCCAGAGAATTTGGGCGAGAACGAGTACTCGCCCAAATACTCGTTATCGGCACCCATACCGTTACTAGTGTCGGTGCATCCCTACTTTTTAAATGTTGGCATGCAGTATCTCATTTTAACCCGTAGGTGGTGATGTTGCAGATTTCCCAAATGAATCATATTCCCTACCTGGTTCTGGCTGCTATTAAACGTAGGGGGTCTATTTATAGACGATTCACAGAGCCATGCGCCCTGCTAATGTCTGAATGTTTGTTCTGTGCAAATGGAGGCAAAATCTGTAAGCTCTCACGGGCAGGGCCCCCCCCTTACCATCTTGTCTTGATTTGCATTGTAACTGTAGTGTTCTTATATTGTAATATATAAATCCTGTATAATACTATAAACAAATGTTCTTAGTTACATTTTCTTTTCAGGTTCCATGTAATGTAATACCACATTATGGCCACTAGATGGAGCTGAGGAGTATTCATTTTGTATGCTCATCAGCTCCATCTAATGGCCATAAAGCGGTAGTAGATTACATTACACCTGAAAAGAAAATAGACTAAAGAATGTTTATTTTTTTGCCTCTATCTGCACAAAACAAATGATCACAGAGAGTCGCAGGGCGAATGGCTCTGCGAATTGTCTATAAACAGACACCCTTAGTAATGATTACATGTCGCATGCTGTGCTGCCCAGTTTCCTTTATCAAAACTCCATTCCACTGTTACCTGTACAGCAGGTATGCCGCATAGATTTAATTCAGGTTGCTTTCAGATAAGGACGCAATGATCGATAGGTCACTATATATACATATATTTTATTTTACATTTTGGTTTGTTCTATAAACTTTTTTTGTTCTGTTTTGTGAACATGTGAATGCGGCTTTCGGAGACCGTTTTAAAGCTTTTCATGTCAAATATTTATTTTTTATATACAATGTTTTATTCCATTCGGTTGCGGTTACACGATATTTACTGTACACGTTTTAAGTTATGAAACTCGGGTCTTAAGTTGTTGGAATGTATATTTTAAAAAAACAAACACTTTTTGAGATATCCTGATGGATGTAATGCAGCAAAAAGGTTGGAGTTATGATTCAATTCTGCAGACTGCAATTGCTGGCTGACGAGGATGGAGGCGGGGATTTTACAAGACTATGAAAGAAATGTGGGCGAGAATGGGTTAAAACAGACGCAGGCAGGGGTCACATGAAGGGCCACGGTGTGTCACCTATGCATGGGGCCAAATATACTTCTCAGGAGCCTGTAGGCAGAGAAATATGAAGCACCGGATGGGCTCTGTAGGGTCTCAGGTGGGCTGTGCGGGGTCTGGTTGGTCTTGAGGGTGCCGGCGGCTTTATTATAAGAAGGAAGAGAATATATGCGGCTGGTGCTGTAAACAGGCGCCGTGGTTCACAGGAAGGCTGCCAAGGCCCCCTGCTTGCTGGGCACCTCGACCGCCTTCCTGTGAACAGTGGCGCCTGTTTACAGCGCCGGCTTCAGTTTAAACATTTTTTAAAGCGCCCGTATCTGCTTTTTACTATTGAGGAATTCTCACAAGTACTTGTGAAAATTCCCCGAAACCCCTCCGTTCTTAAAATGTTCTCTTGTGCCTCCTAACTGGGTTCAGTGTACAAATACCAACTTGGACCTCTGGAATGACCCTCATAATACAAGATGTTGTGTGCACACAGTACACATACACAAAGGGTATTGTGTGTCGGGCTGAGTTATGCCCAATATCTGGGTTCCTTGGGCACCCTGGAGGTCTCTTTAAGAGTTATTCGCTATGTCTGTTTTGTAAGCTTGATGGGATGACAGCTTTAAAGAGACACTGTCACTTCAGTGCCCATTCAGGGCAAAGTGACAAAGCCAGTGCAAGCCCCCAAACCACCACCACCGATCCTCACCAGCGCTCCCCCATCAAAATACCCGGTGTTGGCATGCAGAGGGAGCAGTGACACCACCCCTCTATCATGGGCCAATGGAGGGATCAGTATCATAGGTTGG